TTTTTATTAGCAAAAGAACAAAAGCTGTTCTTGAATAAACATCCCTTTTCACATAAAAAAAAAAGCTACTCCTCAAACCAAGCCCAAGACCTTGACCAAATAGACATCTTTGTCTCTTTTGTCACTTCAATGCAATAAAATTCTCTCCTGTCCACAGCAGAACTATATCTCTAAAGGCCTTGCTCAGGACTGGTTACTCCAGAAAGTTTGATCATAGTATTTGCGCCCTTATGAGTCTCCCCAGCTATTGAATTCTGCAACTCTCAGCCTCTGTGTCCGTTTTCCCTTTGACAAGGGTATACCAGCTATAAATTTGAGAGACAGGGATGATTTGCTCTTTTTATTCTTTTTATTTTCCAAAGAATCTTGAATTGGTTCTGTGTTCTGGCCTTATTTATTGGTGTAGATGTCGCATTATTATGATGGGGTGATTGGAAACAGTGCCTCCTTTTCCTGTGTGCACAGTTGGGTCCATATAATATTTAATACTTAGAATGAGAATCCAGTTTGGGTAACTACTGTGATAGTTGGTATGAACAGACCTGAATTTCCATCTTGCTTTCCCACATAGTTGCTAGGCAAGTCTGTCACTTGACAGTACCAAGCATCAGTGTCCTCATCTGTAAAACTGGGAATACTAATGTGTTGAGGCTTAGTACTAATATACTATATTGATATGATATGATATTAGTAATAATAGTACTAATGTCCTATTGAAAAGATCAAAAGAGATCAAAATATGTGTAAATATGTGTTAGATAGGTAGCTTAGATGGATGGCTGGATAGATAGATAGATAGATAATAAACATCATTTTTTTTTCGTTGTTGTGTAGAGTCAGAACCGACCCACAGCTTGACCCTCTAGAGGGTTTTCAGAGGCAGTTAATCTCACGGGAGGATCTTGCCCAAGTGGCCTCAAACTGTATGCCTTCAGGATTTCAGTGCAGTTTCTTGCCACTAGGCCACTAGAGCTCCCTAAGAAACTTAATTACTAGATGAAAAATACTTATATATACTTTATGATAACATCAGTCAATAAATATTTACTGAATTAAATTGAAGTGGACCAATGCCTTTCCATGTCCCTTCAGGCTTTTTTCAGATCATCAGAAATTCACACGTTAGACTACAGCAGTAAGAGATGGCAAAATTATCTGAGTATGGTATGTTGGAGCACATATCCCTATAGGTGAGAAGCTACTAGCTGTGTGAAGATAGAAAACTACTTTACCTGGAACCATTTCTGTAAACTTGAGGACAGCGTTCTTCAAGCCTCCTCACCTTCCTAACAGGTAGAGATTAGCAGGGAAAAAACCACACAGAAAACACAATGGAATTCCCATGATAACTTGGGAATCATTACTCACCAGAAAGGAGTCATGGAATGAAGGGAGGAATACAAAGGAGGCATGGGAATCATAACTCAACACATGCACCCAGAATCAGAAAATGCAAATCCTAGTTCATTTGACTAAAACATAACTTCATCAAGATTGAGTTTCACGAGATTTGCCTGTGTACCTCTTAACTCTTTGGTATTGTGTAACCACGAGTAAACAAAGATGAAGCGTAAGCCCCTGCCACCCGTATGACTCACAGTCTAAAGGGTTGGGGGAATGGCATAGAATCCAATAATTGCTTAGTGTAAACAGTCTTCTGGAGGCAGACAGTAAATACAGTGGTGGCTCCGCAATGGGAGTGAGTAATTCTGCTGCAGTGGTTCAGTTTATCCTTGAGAGCAGGGCTGAAGTGAGTAGAAACTTCCCTGCATCCTTCCTGGGATTTTTTTTAAGGCTCAAATGGGAAAAAAGCAACAAGGTGAAGGATGGAGATGAGATGTTATTATAATATAAAATTATATTTTGTTGTCAGGCCCTTTTTGAATTTTTTTAAATTTTATTTTATTATTTTTTGCATGTGTACCGTCAAATCACATTTGACTGGTACAGGAGGAGATTGCCCCTCCTTCTCCAGCAGAGCAACTGGTTGATTTGAACCATGTACCTCTGGGATTGCAGTGCAGCTTCTTGCCACTAGGTCACCAGAGCTCCCTTTATCAGGCACATTTACATATTGTATTTCCAGCAGTGGCTCCTCAGTTGGAAATACATTCAATAATCTGTCTTACAGAGGTGTTGGCCTGTTACTAAAGTGCATCAAAGGGGCCCCAGTCTACTTCCGTAGAATAAGTCCATATGGACTCTCACCCTGGTAGTCAGTCACTCAGGATTCTTCTTCTTCTTCCTCTTCCTCCTCCTCCTCCTTTTCCTCTTCCTCTTCTTCCCCCTCCTTCTTTCTTCTTCATTTTGCAAGTTCTAGAGCTTTTCAAGACTTTTTCATGTATCTTGAGTCACTATCCATCTTTTCCTGCTTTTTGCCATTGTTCATTTTTGAAATTGATATTTAGTGGTCATCTGATATGTGTTCTAGGAATAGAGACACGATGCAATAATGCAGAAAAGCCTAAAAGACTTGATGGAGTCTTAACCATGTGCTTCCCCTAATAAGTGCTCTGTGGGAGTAGGTTATGAATGCAGTGAGTTGAAAAGGAAGAATGATGAGTGACTGAAGTGGTAAGAAAAGGTTTTGTCAGGAAGCCACTCTCGTGCAGGCCAAACACAGACGGGTAGATTTTGGGTCAGGGTAAGAGTAGGGCTATTTCTGACTTGCACATCGCCGACAGTCAGCCCTGGAGGTAAGATGGTTAAAGGTGTTTGGGCTGCTGACCTAAAGGTTGGTTGTCGGAATCCACCAGCTCCTCTGCAGAAGAAAGATGGTTCAGTAGACTTTCAGCCTTGGAAAACCTGTGGGACACACTTCTGCTCTATCCTGTAGCACCCTTTTGTATTGGAATAAACTCAAAAGCAGCAGCTTCTGCTTTAGTTTTTAACGTTGTTTATGGATCCTTGCTTTCTAGCAAAGACACAAACAGCTAAACTGTTGTCTTATGTCAACTCTGATTCCTGGGGACCATGTGTGTATCAGAGCACAGGTGTTTTCTGTGGGGTTTCCAGTGGCTGATTTCTCAGGCCTCTCTTCTGAGCAGCCTCTGGGTGTACTTGAACCGCTGGCCTTTCAGTTAGTAGTGGGGCATATTTTCTATTTGCGTCATCCAAAACCAAAGGGCTGTAAATGGTGTCTTGGTGACATTGGAAGGTTCCTTCAATTAAGATTCTCTATGTGAGAAACAAGAGATAAAACTGAAACGAAAACAATAATTTGTACTTAATATTGACTTAAATATCAGCTGATTAGTGTGATCTTTTATACATACACAAAGGAGCCCTGATGGGGTAAATCATAGCATAGCAGGGTGCTAACTGAAAGGTTGGCAGTTTGAATCTACTTCCTGCTCCAAGGGAGAAAGATGGGCAGTGTCTTTGTATGAAGACTGTTTTAGAAGCCAGTGGAGGGTGGCAGTGAGTGAAAACAATTCAATGGCAATGAGTTTGGAATGTATGTATGAGGGAGAGGGAGAGGGAGAAGGAGAGGGAGAGAAGGAGGGGAAGGAAGGGAGGAGAGAGAGAGAGAGAGAGAGAGAGAGAGAGAGAGTGTGTGTGTGTGTCTGTGTGTACATGATGTTGTTATTGTTGCCTGCGCCATTCTGTCCTGTTGAAGATCTTCTTTTTCATTGATTGTCCATGAAATACAATTTCCTTCTCCAAAGACTGGTCATTCTTGATAACATGTTCGATGTACATGAGATAAAGTCTTGCCATTCTCACTTCTGAGGAGCGTTTTGGCTGGACTCGGTCTATGACGGATTTCATCCTTTTTCTGGCATTTTCTGGTATATTCCATATTCTTTGCCAACACTCTAATTCAGAGGCATCGATTCTTCCTGGTTCTTACCCAGTGTCAACTTTCACAAACATATTAATCCGTTCCCACTGAGTCAGTTCTGACCAAGAGCAACCCTCCATCAGAAGAAGACTTTCTCTTGCACCATCAGCTGGAGGACTTGAACCGCCAGCCATTTGATTAGTAATCTAGCGACACTGTGCACTGTTTATCAGGCTGTTGTGTTTGGGTTTTTTTAAGTGCTTGTGGCATCTTTGCTTTTTAACAGTTTAAAAAGGTCTTTTGACCTTTCCTAAGTTTTTGGCCTTTTCTAAAAGCATGCAGTCTGCCTCTTTTCATAGTTTTAGGAACGCCTTTGTATAAGAGTTGTTCAAAGAGTAATTTTAAAATTGTGTTTAATTTTTTAAAATACAGCTATGGAATGAATGTAACTTGAAGAACAAAGAAGAAATAATTTTACTCAAGGCTTTATCCCCAAAGGAAAGCATCCATCCACATCAGATGCTTTAAAATATTAGTTGAAAAAAAAAGTAGTTGATTGGATATTAAGCACCTGTTTGTTTCTGAGGGGCCCTTATAATGCCTTCAGTATTGGTCTGTTGACAGAAAGGTTGGTGTTTTAAATTCATCAGGTGTTCCACAAGAGAAAGATGGGCATTCTCCTTCAGTAAAGATCCATAGCATCAGAAGTCCCATGTGGGATCATTCTGATGCAGAGTCCCTTCAATGGCTCTGAGCTCTGGTGGTTTAATGGTAAGAAATTGTGCTGCCACCCTAATGCACCCAGTTCGAATCCACCAGCTGCTGCTCAGGAGAAAGAAAGATGGACAATCTCTTCCCCTGAGATTGACTGCCTGTGAAAACTTGCTTCATGGTTAGCTATGAGTTAGTTCCAACTTGATGGTACATAACAACAACTATAATTCAGTACTATAATGGCACTTTGATATGAACAGCACAGTGACATTCACACATTTTCAGTTTTCATCTGGAGAGAATGGATACCAATTTGTGTATCAGAAACTCGGGTGTGCAGAAATGGTTGGAATGGGGGGTGGGGAGTGATAGGCACATTCGTGGATGCTTATATATCTTTCACTTCGTTGCTTTGCAGCTCTACAGCTCCATGGATTTTGGAAGACGGTGGCAACTCATGCATGAACGGATCACACCCAACAGATTTTACTGGTAAGTCCCATCATCATACTAACCATGGCCTGGGATAAGGAGTCTTCGGAGACGGGAAGTCGTCAGTGGAAGATGGTTTCTTAGAATATACTAGTCCCTTGTTGTTCAAGTATGCTCAGTGGTCCAGCAGCATCTATGTTGCCTGGGAACTTATCAGAAACGCAGCATCTCAATCCCATCCTAGTGCTCCACAGATGATCCATGAGCACGTTAAAGTTTTAATAGTGCTGCGATAGAGAGCTCCAGGAGTATTTTGACTCTTGTTGTTATTAGATGCCACTGATTTGAGGACCACTCATAATGACCCTGTGAACAACATATCTGAACTTTGTCCTATTAATGTACTGTCACATACATGTACATGAAATATGCATGTCTGTGGGTATGTGTATTTCAAAAAAGCAATGTATCCTAAAATATACTGTGAAGAACAATAGCTGTACAAAACATTTCTCCTTTTAAAAATTTTCAAGTGGCAAATAAATTTAGGTAATGATGCTACAGCTTTACCCCTGTTGGAGAGTTAGATTGCATGTCTCTCTATAACCCTAGCGTGGTTTTGTAGAGAAGTCTGCTGACTGGGAGTCACTGAGCACCAAACGGATTTCACCACAGAGTCCTTCTCTCGTGTCTCCACTGACACATCCCTCAGAACTCTGCAGAGCCTCTTTGGAAAAACCTTTCACTAGAGTCAATACATGCTTCAAATGAGAAAGAAGCCCTTGCCCCTTCTCCGCAGATGATCTTATTTCTTGGTGTTCCTTTCTGCATGTTTGCTCTTTTAACCTTAGCTGTAACAAGCTTAGTGCAATTTTCCTTTTTACATTTCTCCACTCTAACTTGATAATCCTTCTTACCTTTATGTCTGGCTTTCATTTCAGTAGAGGGGGTGGGCCAAGGAGTAGAAATTAGGAAACACGTATACCAAAGGATTATGGTGTGTTGAATTGAAAAATCAAGAGAGAAGCAACAGTGTCTGACAGTACTACCTATTTTGTTACTCTTTTGAAAAATACCTTCGCTGAATTCTCTTATAGAGGTAAGGAGTATATATGTGTGTTGAGGGCACCCAGAGAGCTTTCTGTAATATCTTCATATGCAACAGCTTTACCTGGCTTCTTCATCTGCAAAGCTACACACAGAACTTAGCAATGGCAATTGCTTATGCACACTGTGAAAACCGACTGTGCCTTCCTGTACACAGTTCAGAGTAACAGAGAGAAAGAAAGGATTTGAAAGCATTCCCTCTATTCAATATCTGGAGTATCTCCAGTATTTCTGCTCTTTCCAACCCAGTTACTATGTTTGAACTTATTAAGATTTTTTTTTAAATCGACTACAGTGAAAAAAAGAAATCTTGTTCCTTTGATATTCTAGCTTTATAACTACAGCTTTTGCTCAGCTGAGATGTACCAATTTCTCAGTGTGCCATCACTCAGAAGGGGGTGGGTAAAAAAAGAAAAAAAAAAGACCCAGGAGGAAAAATAAAAAAATAGCTCCACTATTTCTGGAACCAACTCTTGAGATGGTCAGGCAGTCGGCCAACTAGGAAGTCAAGCTGAGGGAGGAGAGCGTAGTGGCCAGGATAAGCCCTGTCATCATTCTGAAGGAAATGAAATTACGGGGAGGAGGGGCGGTGTTTTCCCCTCTTTTGCAAAGAGCTAGAAGAGAATGTTCCAGCTGCTGTTCCCCCTCCCCCTTCCTTTGTGTAACGGAGAGAATAAATCCCCAGGCCCTGATAATTGTGCTTCTCTTTCCTCCCACTCGGTGCTTCTCTCATATATGCCCCCACGGGGAAATAGAAAAGTTAGTGCCCGTGCTGGCTTAACCAAGTAGTAGCTGAAGATTCCATTTTTGTAATTATCGCTTCTCCCTTTCTGATGGCTAATTGCTGTGATAATTCTTTTAGGTGTCATAGGAGTCATCGAGAAAGAGCTCATTTCACACAGACCTTTTTTTTCTCAATAGCAAACTCCAAAGCTATGCACAGCTCGAAACCACGTGTTCTGTTTACACTATGTAGGTTCTGAGAACCTATATTACAGATTAAGGGAAGAAACATGAGCTTGAAACGACACAGCGTACTCTTCTCTGGGGATGGCCAATGCTCTGTGGTTTCCTCATCTATATAAAAAAGAATATAGTATTGTTCTTGTCCATTGTATAAGGCTAGTGAAAGGACCAGATGTGGTCTCTTGGCCACTTGGCAAATGTAACTTCACTTCTCCATTTCGAATTTATAATTTGTGAGTTTTACATTCAGGCCTTTAATAAATGTGTTTGTGAGCAACTCTGAAGACCCTCGGCACAGGAATTATTTGTCATTTTGTGGGAGCACAAATGTGAGACTCGTTTATGGTGAGGCTGCTGTGCCCATGAGCCTCCGAACACAATAAAAAAAGTGTAATTTACTGCCAGACATCCACCTCACAACCTGACTTTATTGTTCTCTCTTCTTTGTTGACTCATAATTCTTATGAAGTGATAAAAAGGAAACAAAGCAGCAACAAGAATAACCCCCAAAAACTACTTCTTCGGGCAAGATGGTGCACGATGAGATAGCATTGAGAACAGTGAGGGATTCTGGGGACAACAGAGATGCTGAAAATAACGCATCAAAATGAAAGATGATATTAAAAAGCTGTTTTACTTGAAGTAGGTAGACAATTAGAATGAACCTGTGATCCAGAAGAACTATTGTTCAAATAATTAGTCTTTATAATTTGAAGCTTTTCAGATGTCCTTCACATACCGGCTTTCATCTTTCAGACCAAGTTCACTCTGTTGAAAGCAATAACCTCGAGGAGGAATATAATCAAAAGATGATGTCTAGTAAGGAGGACCAGTGGATCGGACACATGCCTCCTATTTGCCCCGTCTTCCGGGCTGATTATTGTAATTGTGGAAGTGCATTGGGGAATGTAAAAGGCTATCATTGTTACCTGTTTCTTCAATCATACTCTGTAGCAGCCCGTGAATTAGGAAGGACACGGAGAGAATCCCAATTATCATCAATCATAAAAGCTTACTTCCAAGACAAAAATTATTTTTCAGAATTCCAGATGTTCCATCCCATCAAGAGATGTCTTTTAAGAATCTTACCTTCAAAGTGACTCAATCATGAAATGTATGTCCAAAGTCCAAAATGCTTTATTTAAAAAATATATGGCCTTTTCTCTCTCTTTTTTTTTTAAAGCCCTGGTTACCAAGAAGATCACCAGATCCACCTGATTCCCCTCATTTATCACTCTGACTGATTCAGCTGTTACATTTTCAGAAAAAGGACAGAGTGGAATGTATATCCTAACATATTCTTTCCATTTTCCTTAGATTCCACTTGGAGAAGACTGTCAGGAGGCAGGATTTTTATTTTTCCCTTCTTTTTTTTTTTTTAAATACAGTCATACTGAGCTGCAAATGAATGGTCGTCCCACCCTTCCCTGGGGAGCTGTTTAACAGGCAGAAACATCCGCAGTGGGAAGATTGTTTTTTCTGCACATCCAGTGTGAATACTTATGGTTCACAGCTTTGCCTCTGTGGCCTCTCACCCTCCCTAGGTGTTCATCCTCTTTGAACATCCCCTAAATGAGGTCGCAGCCAGTCTAGGCTTCTCTGAGTTCTTGATATTATTGGGCTATCCTTTATGTGCTTCATCTGTCCACAGCATTGGCTTGTATCGTATGAAAATAGAGAGAATGTCTCCAACGTGCCTTCTTTTCTAACTTGGCCCTTTTTTATTCTCCTTAATTATTCTGTCTCCTGAAAGACCAGTGTCCTTTGTTTTTCTTCCTTGACATCACTGTAGAGAGTGGTGCATGGCATCTAACCCTTTTCAAAAGTCTGTGGGACATACCTTGGAGCTCTAGTGGCTTAGTGTTAAAGAGCTCCACTGCCAACCTAAAGGCATGCAGTTCGAATCGACCAGGTGATCAAGAGGAGAAAGATGGGTAATTTCCTCCTGTGTGAGTTCTAGCCTTTGAGGATCGGCTGTGATTTGATTCTGACTTGGCTGCCCAGAACAACAGTGAAATATAACCAGAGTTGGTCCTAAGAGGTAAAAATCTTTTAAGAAGTTAGCTTTAGACCTGATAACTTTAAGGAGTCCACAGAGATGTCCTTTTGAGACTTCACTATGGAGCTATTGTGATACTTAGCTGAATATTGAAGAGTATATGATGAGAAGTGACTAAAGGGTTCCAGGTCTCTATTGTGTTTTGCTTAAGGTCAGCCTATGTAGAATATTTATCTACTAATGGTTGTGGCATCAGCTGAGCTTTCAGACAGATAAAGGTGCAAAAGTAGGAAGAATATAAAAATAATGTCCTTCTTGGTGTGTATAGACAGAAGGGGTGAAAAACCACCAAAACCATTAAAGGAGAAAAGATGAGATAGAAAAAAATAGTAAACCCCACTCATTGTAGTCTTCTCTTTGCAATATTTTATGATTTTTATTTTACCCGATTTCTTTTTTATATGCATTTAGTCTTTGATACAGAGCCTAAACATGTTACATGTATATTTGAATAATTTGCTTTTCCCTCTTAATATCCTATTATAATAATTTTATGTCGCTATAAATATGTATAACCATATTTTTATATGCAACACTTTGTTGTGTAGAGATAATCCTTTATTAATCTGCTTTATTGTTATTAGACGTTTAAACTTTTCATATTTTTCATTATTATAAATGGTGGTTTCGTTTATATGTTATGCATGGTACGATATCTAGGATTGTTTTCTTGGACCAGTGTCTTAGGTAGTCTAAATAGAAACTTTATTGCGTTTTTATTTCCCAGACTAAGCCTCTTGTCATATTTAAACAACATAAGCCGTATTCAACACCCGACTTGAGAGTAATGCAGTTTTTTATGGCACATTTTCTTGATAGGTGTTGCAAAGAGGGCTTACACCACACAAAGGAAGTCTTTCTGAAGCTCCTCTGTTCTTATCTGTTCCTCTAAGGCCGTATCATCAGGGTAGTAATATTATCACCTTTT